AAAAAAAAAATGCTTAAAAAATGCAAATGAAAAAATTTAGACATTTTAAATTAAAATTCCTGAAAAATGTCACAAATTTTCATTTGTGTTTAGGGAAATTAAGATTCCCAGACACGATCCTCCGGAGCAGAGCCATAGCAAAGCACACTCACCCTTGGCGGTGATCCTCTCGACGAGCGAGAGGAAGGTGAGGGACACGATGAGGTTGAAGCCCCAGTGGCAGCTGGTGGCCACGCTGCCCGACACCCCCCGCGCCCACATGGGGTGGACTTCCGAGTTGATCGTCCACGGCACCGGGCCCAGCCCTGATTAGATAAACACGCAGAATAAACGGACAGCCGCGCCGTTCCAACCCCCGTCTACGTGAGTCGAGTTGGCAGAAAAAAAAAAAAACAAAAAAAAAAACAAGGGATGGTGTGCACTCACCCGGAGAGAACATGACGAGGAACAGGACGAGCGACGCGATGGCGATCCAGGAGTACGGCGACGGGCACCACCCCACCGCCCACGTCATCCCCGCGGGCTCGGCGTCGGTCGCCGCCGTGCACAGGCCGCTGTGCGCGGTGCTGCCGCACCACGAGGACGCGTTGCCGTCCGCCGCGAAGCAGTAGCCGCAGCTGAGCGAGGAGGAGACGCACCCGGAGCACCGCCTGTGGACGGGGGCAGAAAGAGGGTTGCGGTCACACACGGGGAGCGGAGCGGCTCTCCACCTCTCGACAGCAACACCTCGCGCACACTCACTGCACGGCGGAGCAGGGGTCGTCCACGGTCAGGGTCCGCATGACCTTGGGGGAGGTGAGGTCCATGACGAGGAAGCCGGCCGCCAGCAGGCACAGCGAGAACACGACCCCGCTGAGGGACACGAGCAGCAGCGGGCGCCGGCCCACGCGCTCGATGAGGAACACGCCCAGCGACGCGAACGCGAAGTTGGCCAGCGACACGACCACCGACAGCCAGATGGCCGAGCTGGAGTCACCGACCCCCGCCATCTGGATGATGCTGGCGCTGTAGTACCTGTACACACAAAATAGTGCCGAAAAAATAAACTCGATTTATTTTTAACAAATTGATATGCCCGACTTATCGTCCCCCACAGAAGTCGTTTGTAGCACACGAAAACTGCACCCCCATATTTCCATATCTGCACGAAAAAAAAAAAACACAGCACATTTTCCATAGTTTTCCCTTGACTCACATGACGGTGTTGACGCCGACGAGCTGCTGGATGGCGGTGAGCATGCTGGCGATGAGGAGCGGCCGGCGGGCCGAGGGCGTCCTGAGGACGCGCAGCACCGTGCCGCCGGCGCCGGGCCCCGCCCTGGCCTCGGCCTTGGCCTCCTGCACGCTCGAGTCGACGATCTCCCGCAGCTCGCGCTGCACGGCCTCCTCGTCCTCGGCGCCCCGCAGGATGCGCAGGACGTGCTCGGCCTCCTCGGGCCGGCCGCGCATGACCAGCCAGCGGGGGCTCTCCGGCAGCAGGAGCCCGCCCGCGAGCAGCCCCAGCGAGGGCACCCCGGCCAGGCCCAGCATCCACCTGTGACACCGGGGGGGACGGGGAGGATTGTAGGGGAGCGGACTCGACCGCGCACAGTGAATGTTTCCCGAGGCGCCTGCAGAGCGATGGGTAGGCCAACCCGCCAGGCAGCTGTGTGCAGCCGGCGGCCCGCCCTGAGCGCCGAAGGCATCTTTTCTCCTTCCACCGTTCCTTCGCGTCGCTTCGGGGAACGGTGATTGTGTGGGCACCCTCAAGGAGACTCCAGGTCAATGAGTCATTCATTGAGCACTTCTAGGAGCGATGTAGTAGAGGGACCGCTAGATCTCATCTCCTCCTCCCGGCAGTTGTTCCCTTACCTCCAGCCGCCGGGGGTCACGTTGGTGAACAGGGCGCAGATGACGCTGGCGGCGAACTGGCCGAAGGTGACGCCGACGTTGAACGTGGTGACGACCTTGCCGCGCACGGCGGAGGCCGCGGTCTCCGCCAGGTAGACGGGCGTGCTCATGCTGGCCAGGCCCACGCCCACGCCCACCACGACGCGGCCCGCCAGCAGCAGCTCCTTGGAGGGCGCCAGCGCCATGCCCAGCGACCCCGCCGTGAACACCACGGCCGCCACCAGGATGGTGCGCCGCCGCCCGAAGCGGTCTAGGAAGGACAGTCGTTCAAAGTTGCAAAAACCCTTACTTTTTCCCAAGTCTGTCTATAAAAATGAGGGCAGTCGGCATTTAGAGTCAGCGAGATTCCCCCGAATTGCGCGTTCTGCGAGTCGCCGCGAGTGACGGCGAGCAGTTGGGCTCGTGGAATTATCCGCTTCCTGGTCAAACACGCAAAAACCATGACTTTTCAGTATATGCGCGGCGCGGCCTGCTGCCTGCGCTGCTTCGCTAAATAATTTCTGCCGTCGTCGACCCGCCGCGTTCGATTTCACCCGGAAGAGCACAATTGCGCGGCCCTGCGACCAAAAGTGGTGCTCAAGTGCAGCGCGTCACAAGTGACTGCCCGCCGCCAGCGGCTGCGGCTGAGGCTGCGGCAGGGGCGGGGTAGGCCACGCGCGCGCGGGCGCGGCACGGCTGCGCTGCGGGTTGGCCTACCCCGAGAGCGTCAGGCGCTCCCTCGCTCCCGCCCCCCAGTGAGTAGAGCGCGCCGCAGCCAGGAAATCCCTATCACCACGATGTGTGTTTTTTATTATTTCCTTCGTGCGAATTTTTGTCGTACATGCATGTGTCTCCACCGCTAGGAGGCGCTTGGTGGATACTCACCCACAGCGTAGCCGCCGACGAAGGAGAACACCCAGGCTGCAAGGATGGTGCCCGAGACGATGTACTCGTGCCAGGCATTTTCCAAACTCATTTCTTCCCTGCGGGAAAAGAGCCGACCCCTCTCATATTTCCGGTCTCCTGTGTCGTTGGTGCCGTGCCGTAATAACCCCCCCCCCCCTGATTCAGGATGAATACGTGCGAGGGTCGCTCACCTACCTGATGAAGAGCATGGCCCCGGACACGACGCCCGTGTCGTAGCCGAACAGCAGCCCCGCCGTGGCGCCCAGGACGGTGAGCGCCACGTTGATGACGCCGAGGCCGGAGCCGCACCCCGGCCGTCGCCGTCGCCCCGCCTCCGCCCCGGGCGGCAGCGCGACGTCGGGCACCAGGAGCGTCATATGGCGATATGGCGCGCGCGGGGACACCGCTGGGCAGGAGGCAGCGGACTGGACAGGACGCGGGAGCGTCCTGCCTGACGCGGTCGGGAGCGAGCGCGGGCGGTGCACAGCACAGTGGAGGTGGGGCTGCTGTAGGGGAGGGGCGCGCAATGTATGTTTTGCGCGCGGGTGCGGGTGCACCACTATCGATACGCCCCTGGCATGACACGTACTTATCCACCTATCTGACGGCCTGCGCCGACGATTAAGGGAGAAAAATAAGGCGTGGCACAACAACAACAGCAGCAGCACAGCACTGCACCTGCTTCCCCTCTATGATCAACCCCCGCGTCAGCGCGCGTCCAACAAACAGTCAGCAACTCCTTCCATTTCTCACACCGATAACGCATCAAACTGCGGAAGAAGCGGACGTGGGATCGACAGAAACTGCGTCATATAGAAACAAACAACCCCGTTCATTTCACCATCGTTTCTTTTATTCTTTCAAATGGGAAGAAGACACAAAAAATGTACATTTTTACACAACACTGATACAAGCTAAAGAGCGCGGGCATCTTTCTCTCATTAGCTAAAAAATCGTCAATTGCGACGCGTACGTTGCTAGAGGAACACTAGCCGTTTCTTTTCATATCACTAAACTGACTGGAAGCACTGATGTAATCTCCCATATCTTGCCCATCTCATTGAGTGCACACGAAATGCAAATCGTGCAAGTGCTTTTGTTAAATAGAGGATAGAAAGTAACATTTGGCCATTCTCTGCTTTCTTGTGCTTTCAGGTTCCCAACAATAGTTTATCACAGCATAATGAATACTCTCCTGCTACATAACAAAAAGCAATACAACTCAAAAATTAGTAACATACGTCACGGACGAATCGAAATAATCACAGAAAAATAAGAATCAATTGTAAACTATTAAAATTGGTTTAAGTTATTCTGTCATCAACTACAAAATAAATATCACAAAACTTGAAGTCAACATACAAGATTTATAAGTACAGAAAAGGCGCACTTACTTTTAATAAGCTGGCCACATAAATACTGCTCTTAAATAACTGTCTTCCACTTATCTGAAAATTATGTGGAATTAGTAGCTTTTAAATCGCTCGGTGCATTTCCCTACTTTAACATTAACACGGATAAATTGTGAGTATACTAACGAAAGTGAATGGGATACCTAAAATATTGTTCTCGAAAACTTCTGAAAACAATAAACTGATCGAGGCGTGCTTTTTGGTAAAGCCGCAGTTTTGCTCACGCAAGAGATGGGAAGCCAAAGATACTGAAGCCCTTAAGGACATAGATGCAAAACTTAGAAATCATTGTAGTGAAAATTGTGGATCGAGGTTTCGTCACCATTTAAAGTTCACACACCGCCGGCAATGGGAACGGAATGATTGTCTCCAGAGCCGCCAGAAAAGGTAGGCAAAAAACCACCGGGTACTTCAGAGGGCTGTTTTATCGACGCCTGCCTACTAGGCAACTAGGCAACCCCTCTGCACGCGTACGCTGATGTTGCCTAGTATAGGCAGGCGAAGGTACGTTCCCCGTTGTGCTCCGGCGTTTGTTTGTTGTTGTTTTTTGTTGTTGTTTTTTTGCACAACTTTCTGGCAAACCCGTCTCACCCTAGATCAGAGAGAAAATGTCTACATTTATACCTTTGTCTAAACACTCACAACCAATTTGGATTAGACACTCTATCGACTCTACTTTGGCAAATGCAATAGGTAGGATTTGGGGCTCACATAACTGACACCTACTCGAGGCATACGGAAATAAGGAGAGAGGGGCGCCCTCTGGGGCCACACACCAAGGTGAAAGTAAGGGGGGGAGGGGTGAGAGCGCCCCTTGGTAGGCCTCACTTTGTAGCTCAAACTTTCTTGGCTACCTCTAACTTTCCTTCTTAGCCCGGCGGTTCCCATGATAAGGCCGCTTATTAACGAGATTCACGCCGCAAGAAGCGGGGGACAGGAAGGGCGTCTCCTAGGAGGGCGACGGTCGCCGCCCGCTCAGGACGTCCCTCATGAAGGAGTAGACGGCCTCGGTGTAGGTCTCCCGGTGGGCGAGGTAGTGCTGGACGTGCGCCGAGTCCTCGAAGCGGACGGCCGTCACCAGCTCGCCCATGCCCCGACGGTGCCCGGCGAAGCGCTCCACGTCCTGCGGACACACAGAGACACGGCCTAAGAGTGGTGTCCGAATTCAGCCGCACCGATCGGTCGGTCCTCGAACGGTCAGTGGTCGAGCGGCCGGTGCGAGAGGGATAGATGAGTGCTATTGAAATGGATGCTATCTCTCTCGCACCGACCAATCGACCACCAATCGCTCGCAGATCGACCGATCGGAATTCGGACACCCCACGGCCTGTGGACGATGGGGCCGTTACAGGTATATCACAATCTTAAGCGTGCACCAGGTTTTCTGAGTTTACTTGATTTTTTTCTCGATTTTTCATGATTTTTAAAAATTAACTTTTCCTTGACTTTTCCCTTTTTTTGGAGGGACACACATTATTTTGGACGCTTCAGACTGGAGGCCACGGTGCTTGGGCGACGACTCCTACCTGAGCGAGGATCAGCTCGTCGGCGGGGGAGTAGAGGAAGAGGTGTGCGCCGGTGTAGGCGGTGGGGACGTTGTCAAGCTCGGCCAGGGGGTCGAGGGGCTGGGGCCTGAGGGAGGTCATGGATTGCAGGAGCACCTCGACCAGCCACCAGGCTGTCATGACCATGGCCAGCGCCAGGGCGATGGGCAACGCCAACCCCGGCCACAGCGGCCACGCGCCTAGCCCCAGCGCCTCCGACACCCCGGTCCCCGAGGGCGCCAGCAACGGCCAGCGGGACTCCATGATGGCCTTAAAGGCCAGGTACATGGAGCGGAAGCAACCCACGCCGGGCGACGAGTCCCAGATCACGCCAAGCACCTGGACGACACGAGTTAGAATCTCTTTTCGGTAGGAAAGTACTCGACGGCCTGTCCTGGAGCCGGGGATATCAGGTCCTCACCTTGACGGGGGCGGCCCTCTCCTGCATGGCGAGCGCCACGTGCTTGTAGAGGTAGGCGCCGCCGTTGCTGAACACGTGAAAGAAGATGGGGTGCTCGTTGAGGTTCAGGTCCATGATGTCGTCGAGGACGCGCCGGCCCAGGGCGCGCATCTTGCCCCGCCTCAGGAACATGAACTCCAGGGGCGCGGTGCAGCGCAGCGTGACGCACCTGCGAGCCGACAAGTGTCAGGTGAGCACCTGTGTCGAGCGCGAGGGGGGTTGGGGGGGAGGGGTGTCACTCGGTAAGTGGATGGTTATCCCGGGTGGGTTCCTATTCGCAGACATGCAAGGGATGGGCTGCAGCCATGGTTCAGCCGACTGCCTCCGCACGGTAGGCAGCACCTCTGACGGGCGGGTGTCGCGGGATTGCCTACCGTACCGCTCCGCGCGCTATGTACACATCGCACAGGTAGATAACACACGGCTGACGTCACCCGGCCCACCACAGCGGCTAACGCCAGGGCAGGACACGCCCACACTCACACGGCAGCGGGGACAGGGGTGGCGCCGGCAGGACAACGTACCCTTTCTCGGAGTAGATGGTGCCATACTTGGCGAGGTGCTTGTCCAGGCAGCCCGCCCAGCCCAGCAAGATGACCGCCGGTGGCTTCGCATCGTTCTGCACCAGGACAAAGTCGTCGACGTCGTTGGCCAGCGATGTCAGAGACGGGGGCTGCTCCGTGGTCGGCGTCGAGAACTTGAGGTAGTACTCCCTGGTCTCCCTTACCCTGGCCATCGCTGTTCGGGGGGCCCTGCGCGTGCGGGCCTAGTCCAGCAGGGCACTCATCGTTCTCATGGAGGAGGTCGGGTCGAGACGGCCAGGACACGGTTATCGATCGGGGGGCCCACCCTCACACGACTGCCAACCGCCAGCCCCGCGCCGCGCGCGCGCCGAGCAGCTTCGTCCGCGGCGACCGGGCGGGATTGACTTGGAAATGAAGGGGCCTTCTCCTTGTAATGCAGACGAAGGCGGAACGGTAAACCCGTCGCCCCGACCCCCAATCCAATCACCACGCCTCGGCAGATGGCCACCTCATGAGTGTGGTGGTCACGTTGGGGCGGAAGCTGGACGGGGGAGCCGTTGGGGAGGAGAGGGGG